AAAAACCTTCAGTTCTATGATTGATGGCTATTTACTTTTATTATTTTTAATACGTGAAATAATTCATATATCTTTTTGTGTTTTTTTATTTTAGCTCCAAACTCTGGGCGCCAATAGCAGCAAGCCAGCTGCAAACTTCAGCACGTGTCAGCACAGAATGATACGAGGGACGCCTGCAACAGCTAATGTCAACGCTGGTATTTCCTCAGCTGTATATTCCGAGCCACAGGTAAATATTCACAAGTTATAGTCAGGATAATGTGTGGTTTGCTGCATGAACATCTCGTACCCTGCTTCTTACAAAAGACAATCTTGCATCAGAAGATGTGAACTTTGTCACTGAATCAAGTACTAGTGGTCCCAGTCTCACTGGAACAAAGATAAGAACCCTGAAAATAGGTACGGCGGACTCACATCGACAACATTGGACATCTACGTATTCTTTACACTTCTTTCCCCCCCCCCCCCCCCCCCACCCCCTGGTGAATTCTCAGTTCTGCCCCTGTGGAAAGGAATTCAGCATTTGGGCTGAAGGTACTCGTGCTACTCGTTGGGTTAACTATTCCGGTTTTTCCTGGTAACGCTAGCCTCCTACGCAGACATTCTTTGGGCTAGTCACGCACTCTTTCCCCACGAGGAGGAGGAGGAGTGCGTGACGAGCACAAAGAATGTAGACGCGTAGAAGGCTATGGTAACGCTGGCTTTTATTATTTATTTGTTTACAAAATTGTTGATTGATTGATTATTTATTTATTTAATTATTTGTTTGACTTTTTTCAATAGGGTAAACGAGCTGTGGGGATAACGTGTTCTACTAATTTTGCTCGACATTACAAACTAATGAAACTTCCTAATGGATTGTTCAAATGTTCCTGCAAGTGGTTGTCTCCAGTGTTTGGCACTAGTCAAGTTGGCATGTGGTGCGATTTACATGTGTGGGAATGTCCGATTTAATCACTTTGGAACAATTTCTAATCGTGAAGAACGATATACTGCACTGGTCGTCCACGTATTTCTGCTAAAGGATACAGTGGTCCATTTTCATATTCGACAAGGATTATTGTGGTCTGCCCTGTCATAGAAGTCGCTTCAAGCACGTTTCATAATTATACAATTTATTGTTTTTATATTAAACCAAAATATTTAATATATACGTTATTGTATTTGAGGCCTATAAATGAGGGGCTGATGATGACAATGTTGCAATTATGTTTTTGATAAACAGCAGCGACAGACTAAGCCTTCTAATAATAATAATAATAATGTCAAAAGTTGTAGGAGAGAGTAAAACTACAGTCATTCTTTGACTGAGACATTGCATTCTATTTGTTCACAGTGAAACCAATCTCTCTTACTAGTTTGATTACATGCCATGAACCTTTTTAAATTCTGACTAAACTTTGCATAGTAGCCTGGTTTCTTTATGATCGCTGGAGTTGCATGGGTTTGTTTAACTTGCCTTGTGCGCACCAAATAACGCCGAGTAGGCCTGGCGCCGAGTAATGGTCAATCAATCTGTTGTCGAATTTCCTTGCGAATGCCAGCGGTCGTATGGAAACCAGGCTTTACAAAGTCACTCGCTAGTGTTCTTAGAAAACAGACATTGATATTTAAATACCTTTCAAAGGTAGCGATTATCCGTCGAAAAAGCAAAAATTAAAAAAAATAGGCGATCGAAATAAGTTCAACGACGAAGCTCTTGACGGAGCCAATCAAAGGGTAAAGACACCCAGCGAGTGCAATTAAGCTTTGCATAAATGAATTATTTGAGCAACATGGACATAAAAAGTTTTCAGGGCTAGTATTTAATTTCACTTAATCTGCTATCAGTATCATTTTACAGCAGAGTAGTGATGCAATTTTAAAGAGAGGGAGACACATTGCCTTGAGGCATGTACTGTAGTTTTTCAAAAAGGGATACATATTCTTAAAACTGGATAAACTGGTATTTATCCAATGCACAAACAAAATAAATAGTATAATTTATAGAATAATAATACGGATGATTTGAAAGTATTATAGGTTCTTTTCTTTTCTTCATAGACAGAAATTGTTTTAATATTTTAAAGATTTTTTATCATATTTTATGCTGTGAAATAACTGAAAAAGTGATATTCCCTAGTTTTATACGATTATTTTAGCCACATTTCCAAGTAATTAAAGGAAGATTATTATTCTTTGAGTTTTAAACCGAGCAGACAGCAAAAAATACTTAACCGATCGAGTGCGAAAAATTCTAGAAGTTGGCCGGGGAGAGGCGACATATTTTTCGACACTTCTCTTTGATCTTTGGAGAAAAGAGTGGCTGTTTTACTATAACTTTAAATGTTGATTAGGTACAGTTCAGATAGTCTGTTCCAGGCGTTCGGATATTTGGGGAGCGGCGAGGAAAAAAAGGCGAGGGGGTTCTCTTCGCGCGTTTTCGCGTCGCTCCCCCACTATCCGAACGTCTGGAACAGGCTACCGTTCAGATACCGTACGTTAATAAGGAAAATTCGTCTTGGAATTCTTGTATCTGATATTCAGGAATATTGTCCTAAAATCAAGGTTATGTAAACTATGATTTTATGTATAGAGATACTATAGCTGATTTTTGTATATAGTCGTACGGACTCCTAATATAGTTAATTAATACGCGTTATATAGCTTGTGAACTGATTGATTATTTGTCAGAATAAATAAACAACTTTTTAAATATTATTTTCGGTAATCAGTGCTTAATCCTGGTATGCAGGAGCCGGTGGTATGTCAATTATCCTACGAATCACGGGAAATATCGCGTATGCTATTTAGCACACAAGGCCGAGGAAAAGTTCGCTAAATCCGTTCAAAATTTTAGATGATGACAGATGGCCTTATTTGAGCAATGTTACTTCCGAAAATATTCGGAAATGCCGGTCATAAACTGGATTGAATTTCTTTGGCGACGTTTTATTCAAACATTGCAATGGACAAAAGGAACTAAGCATAGAGAAAAAAGTGTAAGGAGATTGCCCGAAAAATCTCAAATTAAGAGGACACCCTCGGGACAAGGAGAAGTGTCCCCTTAATAGAGGTACCCCTTTATAACTAGTCCCCGCTATAACGATCGATATTCTCCAGCCCGGTCAATTAAAGTTACAATGTATGCCCTGTATAACGAGCCACCGTTATAACGAACACATTTTCCCGGTCCCTTGCACTTCGTTATATCGGGGTTCCACTGTATGACGGCATGAGCCGGTTAATTTTGCCGGGACAAAAGTTCGAAGGTGTCCCGAACTAGAGGTTCCACTGTATTGCAAGCGCGCGCGGAGATATTATACCTTGCAAGATAAAGTGTGAGAATATCATCGGAGAAATGTACCACGCGTGGTGGCCGACAGGAATAGAAAAGGGCATGTCAGTTTATTTTGATGTTATTGCGAAACCAGAAATAATTGTATTTATTGGCCAAATGTATTCATTGAATTCTTTCCTGTTGAAAACAGCAATCTCCCTTTGCATGCCTGTAATTGCCGTCAGGTGCTAAGAAAGATTAAAATGCCTGGGCGGGATCGTGATTACTGAAATCAGCTAGCCCTGTTACTGAGGATATTTGCCTCGTGTTATAAAGAATGTACCTGAAATTTTGGAATATTTTGGTTATTTTGATATTCTGGGTAATATTTTGGTTAATTTTAAAATAACAATCGTGTTTAATTCCCAGATATCACCGCAATTCACCGTAATTGATTCAATAAACTAATACATTGAAGACAACTAAACATGCTTTAGGCCGAAACATTTCACCAAGAAATGTTTGTAACTGCATTGTTCACATATTAGGTCAGTCCGTTTCAAACATGTTTCATGCTTGGTTCTATAGTTATATGCGTTGCCAAAGTCGACATTTGGAGGAGAAGAACCACTTATGACGTCATCAATTAAGTTTGGAGTCTTACACATCAAAGCCATTGTGACGTCATCAATTAACACGTGACGAGATTAGTTTGATCGCATCTGATGCAGAAAGGATGGATCTTTGTAACCGTGCATCAATTTTGGAAATCTAACAAATTCTTCCAGAGTTATGCTGGAAAAACCTGTTGAATTTTTGTTGAAAAATCAGTGGCAAATTTGGCTCTCACACCCAACATACTTCCTAGGTCAAAACATTTCCAGCTGATAGGAAGTGTATCAAGGGCCGAAGATAGCAAGAAAAGAAAGGGGGAGTAAAAGGAAAGGAAAAGAGAGAAGGAAAAAATCAGAAGAAAAAACCTTTTTTAAAAGTCTTTTTTGGCTATGCACTGTGGCCAACGATAAAATTGAACGTTTTTGCCCAAACCTTTTTAAAATCTTCCCCTAGTTCTCCAAATGGCATTCATTTAGCCAACGGTTAGCCAAACTTCGGGTGACCACCAAGAAAACGGGTTCCGTGACCCAAAAATGCGTTTTTCAGTGCGAATTCTGGTACCTTAAGGAGTTAAGCAGCTAACACAGGAAGGATAGTTCTTTCCACACATGTGTCCATTTTGAATATCAACCAAATTCTGAGAGAGCTAGTCGAAAAAACATGTTCAATTATTGGTGCAAAATTGGTGGTAAAATATTGGTGGTAAAATACACCTATAATTGGTCAATGTCTCATTTCCAGGTTTTTTGAGCGAGCGGTTAAGACCAAAACTTTTCCAGCTAATAATAGGAGATAACGAGTAGAAGATGGCGAGAAAAGAAAGGGGCAGAAAAAGGAAGGGAAAAGGAGCAAGAAAAAAATCGGGACGGATCAGCCACAAAAAAAACACGTCCAAATTTTCATTGGCCTAAACGCGTGCGCTAAATTAATATTGCACGTTTGACAACAGAATCTAGCTCAAAATCTAGCTTAAATTTAACGGTTAAAAAATGCGGATTTTTTTAAAGTCAGCGCTGAAAAGTTTAATATACCACGATGGCAACGGCAACGAGAACGTCGCTACGACTACGTTTACAACAGTTTTACACTGGAGGAAAAGTTTCCGGATTCATCACATTTATAGAGAGACGCGGTGGCCTAATGGTTAGCGCGCTGGATTCCGGATCGAGCGATCCGGGTTCGAGCATTGTGTTGTGTTCTTGGGCAAGACACTTTGCTCTCACAGTGCCTCTCTCCACCCGAATAACTGGGTACCGGCGACAAAATGCTGGGAGTAACCTGCGATGGACTAGCATCCCATCCAAGGAAACTCCGGCAGTGTGGGCCAGTTTGGCCCGAGAGCGGCTTTTCCTTTACTCATCACATTTGGAGTATTCGGATTCGTCGTGTTTACAAGAAAAAGTTATTCGGATAATTCATGCGGGAACGGTTACCAAGCCTTTTGTTTTCTCGAGGATCTGGAGGACGTCAAAATGAAGTCCAGAACAGATCCAGATGCTACAGAAAATGTCAGTTGGACAGATGATGAAGTAGAACTACTTCTAGGTGTGATCCATTCGAAATTTTCACAAAACGATTACGAAGGGTTAGGATGGGAGAGTGTCAAAAGCAAGTACGAAGATAACAGAAAATATTTTGTAAGCTTGTATCAGAGGTCTTATAGACCTCTAATTGTATATGATGTCAGCCTCTTCACCCGTCCGCCATTTTGGTTTTACCGGCGCAATCTATATAATCGCAGATGCATAAATATCCGGATTCATTCCGGATTTATTCGAATAACCGTTTACACTACAAAACATTCCGGATTTAAAAGTATTCAGATACAAAGTTTCCACTTTGAATTCCGGATTCAAAATCTCCGCACACGCGACCAAACCGGGACAGTTTTAGGGACTGTTTGTAAATGGCCATATGTCAGACTACCGCCCCATTATTTGCGGTGTCCCACAGGGATCGATCTTGGGACCTCTACTGTTCTTAGTCTATATCAACGACCTCCCTGCATGTTCCCTATACTCTACGCCAAGAATGTATGCCGATGACACTAGTCTTACTCTAAGCACAAGTGATCCAATAGATCTACAATCAAAGTTAAATAGCGATTTAGCTGAAATTCAGACTTGGTTGCAAGCAAATAAACTTAGTATTAATGTAAAAAAAACCAAGTATTCTATTATTGGTAGCCATAACAAGCTGGCAAATTTAAACCACCAGTTTGACTTTAAGATTGACAAACACTCCCTAGAAAGAGCTAAAATCTACAAGTATCTTGGCATTGATTTGGATGAGACCTTATCATGGGACTCCCATATTAACAATATTGTCAAGAAAGTGTCCGCGGGCCTCGGGGCCATCAAACGTGTTAGGAACTTGGTTCCTCGCGAGACTCTTATTATGATCTATAACGCTCTAATCCAACCATATTTTGACTATTGCAGCTCCGTATGGGGCAGTATTGGTGTTTGTCAATCTGAAAGACTCCAGAAACTCCAAAATAGAACCGCGCGTCTAATCACTTTTCTGACCTAAATGTTAGATCTTCCGTTTTACTCGATGACCTAGGCTGGGACTCTCTGGAGCGAAGGCGTTCAAAACAACTAGCAGTTATTCTGTTTAAGACTCTCCATAATCTTTCTTCGACTCGTCTGAATAGTATTTTTGAAACTACATCCAGTGTCCACTCGCACAATCTAAGAAATTCGAAATACAACCTCTTCGTTCCTAGACCTAGTACTGAAGCAGGCAAACGAAGTTTTCAATATCGCGGTTCCGTCCTCTGGAACAGCTTGCCTTTGAGCACTAAGGCACAGCCCACTCTTGGCTCTTTTAAATCATGTATTTAATATCTATCGAATTTAATAAATAGTTAGTAATTTTTATAGATTATACATAATTTTGTAAATAACATATTTAGCTAGGTAATTTAATTTATTATTGTAATCATTTATTATTGTAATTAATTTAATACACGGCTCGATGGAAGAGCATGTATTGTGAATTGACACCGTGTTTAAATAAAGTTTTACTACTACTACTACTGTACAATAATTACCAGGAGGGGGGGTGGGGGGTTGGAAAACCAGAGGGGGGGGCATAAAGTAAAATCAAAGCAAGGAGAGGGGGGCTCTAGGTAAAATAAGTCACTCAAGAGAGGGGGGGGGGGGCTTAACATTTTATTTCAAGTACATATTACATTGGCGAACCCATACCTATTTATAAGGTGGGGACCGAAAAATTTTCCGGCCCTTTGGGCCTAGCTACCCTTCGCCGGACCTGAAAATAACACACATGCTCTTTTCCTTCTGCTATGGTTCTGTTGAACATTGCTACGGAGGTGATGTTTGTTCCAGACGCGGATGTCCAACAATTAAACACGCAGTAGGAGCTCTTCTTTCTGTTATAAGATTTTTATCCACAGGTGCGTGTAGAGAAAATGTAGCGTACTTGTATAAAGGTGTGTGTATACTGTGAGGGGGAAGGGGGGGGGGGGGGGTCGTACATAATTTCTGACTGATTAGAGGGGGGCAATAACTAAATTCACTCCTTTAGGAGGGGGGTATTACCTAATATTTGGCTACATGAAGCCCATTTTCCAACCCCCCCCCCCCCCCCCCCCCCCCCCCTCCTGATAATTATTGCACAGTCCCTTATTCTGGATTCGTCCACCTGTGTGAAAGCGGCAAAACGAATCTGGAGCCAAAAATCCGGAAAAATCTCCACTAGTGTAAACGTAGTTTAAACCGAAAAGGTTTAACGAGAAGTACAATGGCTCTGCACGTGCGTTATAATCCTGTACATTTCTTAGCCGTCCTCTGGAAAAAAACAACGTGAAATGACCAAATTTTGCGCGTGCGTAGAAGTTGTGTTAAGATAGAAGAAAAACAGGAAAAACATGGCGGCTGATATTTTTTTACTTTGCGATCCTTTAAACCAGATAAACTGCTTCCTCAAGTTTTTCGTTTTCAAGATCGCAACCACGACGGCGACGGCGACGGCAACGAAAACGTCACAAAACAATAGGTGTTTTGGATTTCTTTGCCGTCCTATGCAAAACAAAAACATCAAATGTCCAAATTCGTATAGGTAATCGCATGGGGCCGAGTAATTAAATTAAGGATTAATATCACGCGTGTTTTCAGAAGTTGCAGAAATTGCCCGAGTCGCGCAGCGACAAGGGCATTTCTGCAACTTCTGAAAACACAAGTGATATTAATCCTTAATTTTACGAGGAAACATGCGATTACTTGTTTATGACAGAGGGCAAAATTTTCGGAAAACCTTCAAGACGCCGCGAAGCTAAATACAGCCGGCGGAACGAAAATATTCCTTCCTAAAATCACACAGAATCACAGCAAGATCAAGCAAACCCTTACGTTCAGAACAGGGTGACGTTGACTGTTATGTAAATCTTAAGAGAAAAATGCAAGTCGTGAAAATAAAACAAAATAACAAGCTTACACTCAAGCCAAGTAAAACGTAATTTTATTCACCTGTTTGCATATTTTGAAGCTTTCCGCTGCGAGCTGCTTGACATGTCAATCCATCGATAAAACAGCAAACGACGACTCCAAACAAACTTGTAGAGGTAATTTCTCCGGTTTAATTTGACCTTCTTCTTTCTTTGAACAAACTCTTTGATCTTTTATTCTCTGGGTTGCACATGATGAAGCCCGATTTAAAACAGAGATGAAACGAAGAAGTCAGTTGGCAGCCATGAATGAATTTCGTCGCAAACTCGCCAAGTGTCTAGCTGATGCAAGTTTTCTAGTTTTCAACTGAAATAATCTTCTGTTGTTTCGAGTGAAACCATGAGATTCAGCTTTCGGAATTTCGTTTCAAGCTATCACCCGGTTTCCGTTCCTTTTTCATCAAATAACTCGGAAAACTGAAGTCAAACTCCGACGCGACGTACAAGCGAGCGCTGTGTTTGAAAATTCTGCTCAAAATCCCGCCGTCAAGAAGTGCAGCGCGCTCAGCCAATTAGGAGCGGGTAATTTGGCCGCTCATCCAATCAGGATCAAGTAATTTTGCCCCGGGCAAACCAAAATTAATGAAAAATGCCCTCTGTCTCAGCCAATCAGCATTCAGTAATTTTGCCCTCTATGTTATAAACGGTATTATGGAGAACGTGAACACGCGATGGTTAATTTTCCTTTCTCTATCTGGACTTGAACTCACGAATTCAGCTCCTGGACAGTTCGGCCACATTTGACAAATTGAACGTGTTGGAATAATCGCGAAATAGTTCATAGGAACGTTAATTCATTTTGTTTTTTATGCGCATGCGCATTAAAAATCAATGATAGAGACCGTAAAATGCATTCTCGTCCCCAGAGCTACGCGGGTTTTTTTAAATGTTGTGACCAGTAGACCTTCGTTTTCGCCAACCACGTGACCAAAAGAAACGGAGGATCTGGGAACGAGAATGCCGTAAAATGTTATTAACACTTCGGGCGTTAGTCAAACTTCGGTGTTCCCCTGGGATTTCCCGAAGTGACACATCATCACGAGTGTTATTTCGTATCGTCATCGTAATCAATCTTAGGCCGAACAACCAACAGTCAATGCAGTGGACTTCCCAAAGAAGGGAAAATTTCAACCCTGCCACTCTGAAGTTTTCAGAAGAGAAGAGAACATCAGACAATAGATAATTCGTGGAAACGTTTTTCTGTGAATGAACTGAACGCCAGCTGAAAAGTGGCCAGTGTGGGACTGCATGCCAGAGTCCGCGATCAATAGCGAATATCCGAGTCAACTTCTCTATACCTGCATTGACCAATTTTTGCTGTGACCTTTGGCTTGGAATTGTTTCGGGAAATCGTCATTGAATGGCGCCAAAGACCAAGGTAATTAGATTTCTATTGTTTATTAGCCGACTTTTCGACTATGATGATCGAAGCAACTCTGCTGGCAGGGTAAACATTGTCGTGTATCTTTCAGTTCTTTAGTGCAGGAGTACTTTTGGGCTTTTATAGTTTAAAACGTACAAGCTTTTGGCTCGAAGCACAAGAACTTATATTTTAGCGTAAATTTAATTTGTTCTATTACATCTGCAATCTCATGCGAAATATTCGTTATATACATCCCACTCCAAATGAAAATAAACCCTGTCAAAATTGCCTGTCAGAACGACAACAGGACGACTTTCTGGACTTTTTAATAAAGTTTGTTGTTGTTGTTGTTCGATCGATAAAGA